GGGGTCTTGAGATGAAAAGGTTGCAGAAAGGATTTCCCTGTTACAGTTGTTATGATAAGCAACACAGCAACATGTCCCTTGACTGATGCCTTCATTTATTGTTTCATCCTTACACTTAATTATTCTTTCACTGTATTCATTCATCCATCTATCCATTCACTCGTTCATTGCTTCATTCATTTGGCAATATGCTTATGTTTATGTATCAAGTCTATTTTCCTTTCACGTCCATAAAGAGATCTGATACATCCGCTCAATCATTCAATCATTTTTACTTTTATTAACACATCTGTTCACCTGTGCATTAATGCGTCTTTCAGTTAGAGATTCATTCATTCTTTTATTAATGCGTTGATTGATTGATTGATTGATTGATTGATTGATTGATTGATTGGTTGATTCACTCTTTCGTTCATCCATCCATCCATCCATCAAACTGTTCATTCATTCATTCATTCATTCATTCATTCATTCATTCATTCATTCATTCATCCATAATTCAGTTCATTCATTCATTCATTTTTCCAATCATTCATTCATTCATACCAACAGACTCTGAAGGAGAACTGCCTGAAGTCCAGACGTATGGTAGCGACAAGGAAGTAGCGGACCAAGGCAAGGTAGAGCACTAGAAAATCCAGCGCAGCCAGCGTGCCGTAGAGAAGAGTGCTGAAAACGCTGGCGTACTTCCGCTTGCTCAGAACCAGCACCACGCACACGTTGCCAAACGTTCCTATGACAACGAGGATTGGACTCACAAGCTGAGGATTCGAAAGAGATGTTTCGGAGAAGTAACGGGCCCAACTAACGGCTTTTCGTAAGTAATACAGCTGTGGTTGTCTAAGCCGGAAACCGGTGTTCAAGGAGAAAAATGGCTGCCTTAGTCAGGTAGTCGTCTTGCACAGTGTTATTGTAATGTAATAAATAGGCAAGGTAGGAAGTGGAAAATGGCTGCTTGTACATGCAATTGTCTTGTACAGAATGTTGTAAGAGCAGATTCAACTGTAGTATGTATGCATGTATGTATGTATGTATGTATGTATGTATGTATGTATGTATGTATGTATGTATGCATACGTTCGTGTGTGCACGTCTGGATGCATTCATGCCTGCGTGCGGGCGTACGTGCCTGCCTGTCTGCTTGCCTGCCTGCCTTCCTGCGATCCCAATAACCACAAGCTGGGAGTGAAACACGGGTATTAACGCCCTTTTGTAATATAGTGTAAAGGTGTGTATGTTTGGATGTGCGTGAGTGCGCGCGCGCGCGCGCGCGCGCGTGTGTGTGTGTGTGTGTGTGTGTGTGTGTGTGTATGTATGTGTGTGAGTGTGGGGGTATAGGTGCGCGCTTGTGGGTGTCTGTTGTGTGTGTGTATGTGTGTGTATGTCTGTGTGTGTGTGTGTGTGTGTGTGTGTGTGTGTGTATGCATGCGTTTGTCTACATCCATGCGTGCGGGTTTCTAACCTAAAATTTAAAAATAAATCTGGTCATACCCCTTATCCCTTTTTCAAAGAAAACACACCCTACAATTATGTATACGCATATCTAAGTCCCATCCTCCATTGCGCCACCCCAAAAACCCCACCCCCACCATCACCTCCATATTTACTTTGCTTTCAGCCTAATGTTCATAACTGGCGTTTGTTATAAAGCGATTCGGCGCTCCGTTGCTGCACACTGGAGACTCGATCGAGTATCTGCTGGGATGTTCTTTCCAACTCAGGCTGGGTTGGCCCTGACAGGCAGGGTCGGAAGCCCGCCTCCTAAATAATCTAAGATGTGGGCGTAAAATAAACCCTACATTTTAAACGTTTCCATTGTTCAAACAATTAGCCATTTTTCTAACCTGAAATAATATGAAGTCTGCCCAAGTATTTTGATGCCATCTCCCAGGATCCACGAAATCCCTTTGATACGAATTCACCAGCAGAATGTTTTCATCTCTGACACCGGTGGCTACGAGGACGGTTGAAGGAACTGTGTTGTTGTTCAGAGTCTCTAAAGAACCAGAAGTGTTGGTCAGTTCTAAGGTGCCGTGGGTCTCCATCCAAATGACGTGCAACTTACTGTGTTGGGAAGAAAGATGCGACATCATGGAGCATAAGTACAGGATTTAACCCTATCCGTATGTCGTGTTTTACTATCGTATCCATACGACGTGATGAACTCTACGCCACCACTTTCCAAAGAGGAAATTTACCCGTTAATCCGATCCGTACGCTTTGAATAGCAGTCTGTCAAAATGATTTTTTTTAAATACCGAAAGTTTCACAGAGATCTTCGTTCTAGAAGTATTCTAAAATATGAAGAATACAGCCCAGGGGGTACAAAATGCAAAATGAACCCAGGGCGTACGGATATAGTTTAAATTTAAAAAACAGGCAATTGTTGTACTCTCTCATCCACACAATTCAGACTAGTTGAGAGTTGAGAGGTGGGCTTCCAGCACAGCAAATCTGGGCAGAATGGGATACCGCATCTCAAGAGACAGACAGGGGTACCCGATACGGAAGAAAAAAACTTACTCTTAAGGGAATCGAATTTCTTTCGTCTGCATATGCAAGGGCCAAAAGCCTAGCCACTACGTACACCACAGACGTTGATTATGTGTGCAGGATGCTTTTTTATTTTTATTTTAAGCTTAGTTTAGGTTTTTTAGTGTG